AATTTTTTTTAATAACATACTATTATGAGTGTTGACCTGAGATGTTAAACCTATGCCATAACATAAACTATTAAAAAATATTTTACCTGGATGCTCAACAAGGACCAGCTTAAGAAAAATAAAGTCTCAGGATAGCATTCGCAACAATGTATTACAAGGGAAAGTGGCTTCTGTCCGGCGTATGTGGTGTAGCGATAGGCGATTTGCTGTCACACGCAGTAGACACGAGTTCGAATCCTGTGTCGCCAGAATTGGTATTGGGTACATGTATCTTGGTCTTTCTGGTGGAACGTTGGACTTGACAGGCATAGTCGAAATCCGTCTCCTAAATGATCCGAATTGTGTTGTGATGTGTTATATATATTTTTTGTGTGTGTGTGTGTGTGTGGGGGGGGGGGGGGGGGGGGGGGGGGGAGTGAAAACACCTTCATCAAAACATTTTATAAACATTGAACTCACACAAATGAAGATACAAAGGCAGATGACGACAGTGCAGTACCTTACTTTTGGGCATTCCGTTATCTAAGTTGGTATAACGCTGGACTAGCGAGTGAATGGCTCTTGTTCGAATCCTCAACCGGGCCTTCTAGAACTTCAGTTATTTAAAGGAATTTTTAAGGCTCTTCGGGGCTTTTAGTTGGGTAAAAAAAACAATAGTCCCGTGACCGTGGGCTCCGGAAGTTCGTTTTTGACTTGTTTTACCATCTTCAAGGTCTAAGTAAGAAAATTAGCCCCCATGCGTCTTTTTAAAATGTGGGCGTTACCCATGAGGCCTTAAAATCCAAGATGGCCGCCGAATGGCAAAAATCGATATTACGCATTGTCTTTTTCCAACACATATGAAGTGTGATACATTACTTATGGTTTTTTTTAGGTCAAGAAGTTCATTTTTGGAGTCATTTTTAGCCTTTCGTAAAATATAAGTGCAAAAAAATCCGATATGGCTGCCATCGTCCGTATTGAAAATGGGAAAAACGTTGGTGTCACAAATAGTAACTTAAGGTTCACGAATTAAGGGCATTTACTGATCTAGGATAATTCTTTTTTTGTATCATTTCACTTTATTAGTAGTTTCAAGATGTGTAAATCCAGTTTTGTTTGTTTTTGTTTTTGTAAAGTGTTTTACGGCGCTCACAACTGCATAAGGTCATATGAGCGCGCGGGACACACATAATATTTTCAATTGGTAGGAAATTTCGAATTTTTCCTGGGTGGCGGCCGAAGCCTACTCTTATCGATTTTAGACCACTAGGGGATCTTTAACATGCGCAACTTGCACTCGGGCCCTCCGAGATTTTTCGCCCTTAAATCCAGTTTGGCCGCTCATCGAATATGTAAACACATACAGCATCCGCAGTATTGGAGCCTTGTCTATACTTTTTGCATGGGTGTAAACCTGTGACATTTGATCTATGACACTGCAGCTCAGGATTCATTGTGTAGATCTGATTTAGCAGCATTTTAAGAATCGATGCAACCCACAAAAAATATCTCAGTTAGGGGATAATGTGCAATTTAGATATTCAAAAGATCTCAATTTCAGGGTTAAAATACAATAAATTACATAGTTTAAAAAAAACATTAATCTAAAAGACAATAACCCGTACAGTATTTACTCTCGTCTTT